GCTTCTGCAGACTCACATTAGGGCATCTAAAAGGCATACATAAAGCAAACACTTGGAATTATCAGGAACCAAAAAGTAAAGGTAGACACTATTGCTATACATTAACACTGTTGGAAAAGAATAAATATTCCTACATTTGGACATTGGATTCCTACACTTTCTACTTTTCACCTCCTTTCTTCTTTATAATGGGTCTTAGGATTTGAAGCTATTACAGATTCCATTTCTTACAAAATCACACAGAGCATGTGTCTCATCTGTAAATAAGCTTTAATATCTAGGCCTGCACCACATTCAAAATGTTCTGGAAGTTAATCAAGCTCTCATTAACGTTCTGTATTGTGAAATCCAGATTTCCAACAAGGAGAATATAACCTTACAGTTTATTGTAATTTATATTCCACATTTATAGAGATTATACATATTAAAAAAACACATTTTAAAGTATATTTTAGTAATCATTTTATCTCTCTCAAAGTGTGGTTCATCACAACTAAAATTTTCATCCAGAGCCTGTGGAGAATTAATAAAGTAAGTTATTTAGAAAGAGTCATAAACATTTTGAAATTATTTGGACATTACTGTTAGTGAGATTCTGCTCTATTATATTAACTGCTACTCTAGAGTGCTTAAAAATATTTGACTTTCAAAAAATTTTTCAACTTATGTCCTACTAAATTACGTAACATTATCCTAAGAAATAGTGTGTTTAGTGGTAAACCATTTTAGGAAGATCATAACTGGATTCAACTAAAATTAGTATGAAAATAAAAAGATCAAGTCCAAAGGAAAGTACTCTCTCTTTTTTAAACTAAAGAAGACAGTCTGCAGAAAGGTAATCCGTTACCTCCCTCCTGCTGCTTCCCACTCAGCTCCCTCAGCCACCAGAACCAACCATCAATAGTCTGAACACCAACGTTCAAAGAGATTCAAAGGCATAACAACCAAATGCAAAGTCTGAGCCTTGTTTAGATTCTAACTTGAAAAAAAAAACTGTAAAAAAGATATTTTCAAATAACAGAGGAAATTTATATATGTACTAGATACCATATGACACCAAGGAATCATTTTAGGATGTGCCAATGACATTTGTGAATTCAAAACACAGAAAGAAGGTTTATATTAAGAAACACAATTTAAAAAATCAATAATTAGAACAGAAGTTCACTCCATATGAAGCTTAATTTTCTGGAGCAGTCTGACAAAAATCTTAAAATAACTGTTTAGAATACTTAAGAGCTAAATGAAGGAATAATTTCTATTTAAAAAAGAACAAGAAATTATGAAAACCAGGCAGTACTGAAGTAAGAATAGGCATCTATGAAAATAAAGATATTGGAAATACTGGTAATGAAAATACACTTTCAAAATTTAAAAAAATAACAGATAAGATGAATTCTAGGGAATTACTGACTTAGAAGACAGTTTTCTGGAAAATGTACCCAAAATAGTACACAGAAGGATAAAAACACAAAATATACACATGTTATATATATATATGTGTGTAATATACACATACATATACACATACATACATACGATAGTTTGAGAGACTCTAATTTCATCTAACAGGAATTACAAAAAGCAGGAATCGAATGATTACTAGGAGAAAAATACTCAAAGAGATAGCTAAACATTTTCCAGAACTGAAGAAAGTCACAAAGCCTCAGATTCAAAGTATCTTCCAAGTACCTACTTCATGTAAATAAATTCATACCTAGACATATCATGGTGAAATTTTGATTAAAAGAAAATTTTATCACAAGATGGGGGGAAAAAAGTATATCTACAAAGGAACACCTATTATACCAAAGACAAGTTTCTCTTTGGCAATAATAAGAGATGCAATATCTTTAAAGCACTGAGGAAAAATAACTGTCAACCAGAATTCTATATGCAGCTAAACTACATTCGAAAGTAGAGAGATAAGATAAAGACAGAGACATAAGAGGAGTCTGGCTCCCAGAGTTCCACACAAAAAGAAATCCTAAAGGACATACTTCAACAAAGTAAATCCAGAGCAGTCCCAATGCGGTGCCTACCTTATGCCTCACATTTAATATGTCCCAAACTAAACTCCTGATCTTCCTCCATAAAGCTACTGTACTACAGTCTTCCCCATTCTAGTATATGAATAACGTAACTTAGGCCAAACATTTTAGAGTCATCCTTCCTCTCAAATACCATATTCAATCTGTTATCATCTTCTGTCTTTCTGTCTTCAAATTGCATTGATTCAGATCACGTTTTACTATCTCTACCACTCTCCAAACCATCACCGTCCCTTTCTTAAGTTACAATAATACAATAACTTCCTAATTAGTCTTTTTGCTTTTACTATTGCAATCTGTTCTCAACATAGCAGTCAAAGTAATCATTTTGAAGGACTAGATCATGACATTCCTCTGTTCACAAACTCGCCAATGACCCCCCATTTTACTCAGAATAAAAGCCAAAGTCCTTACTATGTCTTACAATAGTCCTCATTACCTCTCTAATCTTACCTACAACTACTTCACTTACTCACTCCACTCACAAATGGTTTACGAGCTATTCATTAAATACCCTAAGTCCATGCCTCCCAAGACTTTTGTACCTGACCTTCTCTATGTCTGGAATGCTTTTCCTCCAGCTATACAACTGTTGATGACAGTGTTCACTATACTTATCAACACATTCAAATCTTTCATACTAATTTTAATCTAGCAGAGAGACAGAGAGAGAGAGAGAAGTTAAATAATTTGCTCAAGGTTTATAGCTAACAAGTGACAGAGGGAGAATCAAAAATGTAGATTGACACCACAGCCCTTGTTTAATAAATTAAAGGCATTATTTCAAAGTGCCTGCCCTAAATGCTCAGATACACAGTTGGCTTGATCTGGTTCATGATAGAGATATTATCCACTCTCTTATTATTTGCTTCAGTGGATTTCATTCATTCATTTAGAAAAAAAAAAGATTAAGTTACTTGGCACTAATGCTGTGCCCTAGGAAAGGAGCAGTCAAATAAAAATTCCAAATTAGACATAATTCAGAAAGCATGTTTCTGCATCTAGAATGCATTACCAGAGTACACTGTTTTAAGGACTGCCTTCCTAACCATGTTTCAGTCAGATTACTTTTTAGGTTGATTTCAGTCCCTGAATATCTACCATCAGAGTAGGGGCTAAAGCAGTTTTGAAACAAACTGGTGATACGGATGGAAAGCTAGCTCGAGAATTAAAATATCTTACAGAAAATCCACTCAGTGGATAGCCTACTTGTGACTGACTTGAGGTCAACTGTGTCTTATTCATTCTGGAGGTGCTCCAACTCCCTTAGACAAGTGGGGACATTTATTACTGTTAATAAACTGTTTCCTTACATTAACCGAATGACTCATTGCTGGCCTAATGAAATTATTTCACCTTCAAACACAAAGCAACTAATTTCACATTTTAAATGTGAAATACATTTAAAGCCAACATATGAAGCAAAATTCCCAGAAAATTATCAAGACTCAACTGCCAGGAAATTAATTATGTGTAACTGAACTAAAGGTTAAGCCCCTACCAATATCTTCATTTCCCAAATAACAACTTACAAAGCTGTTATCACTAAGGATTTTTAGCACAAGGAAGTAAATCCTTTCCCACAAACACACTTTTATTTTGTCAGCTTTAAGAGCAACTTCAAATAAAAATGTATTCAATAAATAAGTTATTGGGTACAGAAGAGTAAATGTCAATAAAAACAAACCTATTTATTTACTGACTGTTAATAAACTTTTACCTCACTATGGTTCCTTATATCACTTTCCTTTTCACTTGCTAATCATTTAGATAATTCTAATAATGAAAAGAAAAATCAGTTTGTTTTTGGAACAAAACCAGGATTTGTCCCTGATTAGTAATGGTCTGATATACATCACAAAGACCTAGAGTATTATTCCCTCAGAGTACAGATGAAAACAGGAAACTGGAAAACATGTACTTTTCTTCATTTAAAAAAAAAAAAACGAAGTTTTCAGGAAAAGTAGAAGAAAGATAAGCTGATAATTTCAGAATCACCTCCAAACCTCTAACATATTAATGTTGTTACAAGGAATTCCACTTTCCTCGCTCACCCAAGTTCAAAGTTTTGCAAAGCAAAGTTTTTGGCTGCCTATAACATAAAAAAACAGGTCAGATTATTGATTTTAAACTAGAGTAGGAAGAGGGGCTATATCCTTCTACTCAGAGAATATATATTTTAGGTTTAAAAGAAAAAAAAATTCACAATGTAAAAAAAAAGGTGTTTGCTTTTCATAAGTTTAAATATTCCATGCACTAGTCTAAAATCATCTACTGATGATACTGAACAAATTGACCTAAGTTTCCAAGAACAAGTAGAAAATGAGTCAGGAGGAGGATAAAGGCAGCTATGAGAGATATAGCACACTTTCTGAGAACCGAAACTTTTTTTCCATTTATTTTATACTGATGTAGCTTCTCATTTGTCCCAACCAGTCCTTCGCCTCTCTTCCATGCAATGCTATAATACACACATATGTACTTTATTTGTTGATCATCTTAAAGCTACTTACTAGGGTCCACACTTACTCATGTTTGTACAATTCCCAAGATACCTTTTTTTTTTTAACCCATTTGAATGGAGCCTTTCAGAAAACAAACAACCCCCCATCGATTTCCAGGGAGCACCACATCCAAACTTCTTATCCTAGCTCACCAAGCCCTACATATTTGGACCACCCCGCTCAGCTTCATCTTATACCATTCTGTTCTTTAAATACACCAAAGGCTTTTACATTAGTTGCTCCCATTGCTTGGAAAGCTCTTCCCTCAAAAAGCTGTTGCTTCTTGTCATCCAAGCTCACTTTAGTGTAGGAGGAAAGAGAGATTTTTTCCTTACCACCAAACTTTATTACATCAGAATATATATTGCTGTCTGATAGTTTGTTATTATTTTCTAGATGTGCTCTAAAATATAAACTCCCTATCAAGGACACACTCTGTCCTATTCACCTCTTTATTCCCCACACCCAGAA